ACGACATCACACACACACACACACACACACACACACACACACACACACACACACACACAAAAAGTATTTTGTTAAACGTACTTACTTAACGACATTTCATACATTTCTCTTTTTATTCCTTTCATTGTTTTTTGTTTATAATATTTTTCCATATTTTTCATTGTCTTTTTCTCTTTTTATCATGATGATATCATATGTGTGTGTGTGTGTATGTGTGTATATGTTAAAAATTGGATAATTGCACTGAATCAGTAACTTTTTGCTATTCAACCTTATCACAAAAAATTCTCTTTGATCTCGAAACAAATGATATATTTAATTATAATCCTTTTTTTTTTACTCACTTTTATACATTTAATAACATATAAAAAAAAATCTAAAATCAAATCACATTCGAATTAAAAATCGATTGCATTATTCTATCCCGGTTTTAATTTTTGAGCATCTTATCCAATTTTTATTGTGTAAGAATTTATAATGATCATAAATCTTTGGTCAAAAGTGTCACTATTACTGAATTTTATACATTAGATATATAAAAAAAAAAGGAATATTGTAGCCATAAATTATATAAATTGATTCAAAAACTTTGAACATAATATATTATTGTCTATTAATTGTTATTTAGATTTTTTTTCGTTTATAGATATGAACAAATTAATAACATTGACGGAAATTATTTTTGATGAATAACATATGGAAATAAAAATGGATATAAGAAATAGATGAAAAATATATAAAGAGAATTGAAAAACAATTTTGTAAATGCATATGTTATTAAGTGCTTCAATACTAGTTATATGGCGTCATAATTTGTTGTTACACAACAATAGGGTAATATGCGCCAAACTTTACACCTCATTAAATTTATTTCATACTCCGTCAATAGTGATAGTCTTTCACTTTTATATACATAATTAAATATCGTATATACTTTAATAGTATACGATTTTGGAAAAAATTGAATTGAGATTGTTCTGAATACGATTCATTGGGCAATCAAACTAAAAATACGCATTGATAGAATTTCAAAATAAAAGATGTATGGGATAAACTAAATAAAATATAAGATTTATGAATGTAGAAAGAAAATATTTACATATAGGTTAAATATAAATAATATTGTCAAATAATATGTATCAATAAATAAGATATAGTATGTATAGCCTCGATCCAAAAATAAACGGATAGAATAATTAAACAGAAAAATTAACAAAAGAATGAATAGCAGAATAATATAATGACGGTGAGCGATATGGATTTTTAAAGTCATTTTTATATGCATCGCATGCGGATACAAATAATGTATCGAAAGTACGGAAAGGAAGCAATTATCGAGTACTTCAATGTACTATTCTTCCTGATACCTTTTATGTATCAATACGAATAAACAAATGTAATTATTCTAAATAGCATTTCTCCTTATACTTACACTTGTGAATAATTTTTTAAATACCTTAATTAAAATATTATGTTCACGCACAGTTTAAATATTATTAATTTTGTAATATTACATTTAAATTAAATGAAACGGAAACAAAATTGAAATTTACAACTAAATAAATAGAAGAATATTTGTTCGTAGTAATTGATATGATTGATGTATCATTATTGAATCAGTTGCGTTGCATTACATCATCGATCTATAATAATATGTATTAAAAAAAATGCATATGCGCATGGTATAACAATTTGGTCAAGGTTATTTTACAGGTAAATATCCTAAGAATATATTTATATAATGAATTTTCATAAACATTCTTTTCTCTAGACTAGAAAGAAAAAAAATGTAAGGTTTTCGAATATTTTTCGTAAAATCAAAATGATTCGTGATAAATATATATATATAGGTTAAAATAAGAATTTTCGATCTTATTTAATTTTTGTTTTTTACTTAAAATAATCAATCATTTTCATGTTAAATCAGAAAATAATAGTCAATAGCAAATAATAATGATTATAAATTTTTTTGATAGTTCATTACATCAATTATAAATACATATATATGATAATAATAAAATTGTGTGCATTCTCTGAGAAATATTTCAGTAAGTAAAATTGATTAAGTAATATTATAAAACATAATGTATTTAATCAAAATGCGATAGAATGAATCAGAGGTAGAATGTGAATGTACAGGTAAAAAAGAAAAGAAATAATAAGATAAAAGGAAATAGATAATGATATATGTATAGAAGAAGCGTATAAAACCACGACGGGTGCAACGTGACCGAGAAACCACGTGATTGAATTAGCCAATTGCAAGGTACGCGGGTACATTGTCACGTTGCATTCGGCGTGGCTCACATTCCCCTTGCTCTTACAGCCTATCTCTCCTGCTCTATGTCTGCTGAACAAGTTGTATGCTGGCATATGCGAGCAATACTGCTGTTTCTTGTATTTCGCGTCAATATTCATTCGTTACAAATTCGCGTGCATTATTATATTATTCGATCTCTGTAATCTTTACACGATCATTTAATTATTGGAAAATATAAAACATTGAACCGAGTGTGTATGTTGCTACTTCAAGTTGCGATTAGATGAGTGCATCGAATAAGAAACAACGATATTCGGATATATTGCAATGTCCATACATGCTCACAATTGTAAGTATATATATTTTTTTCATTTTTTTGTTTTTTCCGTAATATTCTTTATTCTATGCTAATTTTGAATTTAACATAATTTCACATTTCTATTAGTGTCAATAAATTATATTTTTTGCCTTTATTTTGGATCATCCTAAACTGTTTTTCATCAATTGTCAGATCGATAATTCTGTCTATAAATGCAGTAATTATTTTATGATGTAATAATTTCATTTTCTTCTATAAAAAAATGTTATGATGTAATATTAATAATGATAAGAAAAAAATGATTATTCGCATAAAATTTTTTGTGCAGAATGATGACTTGTTAAAAATAAATAATATTTAAATAAATTTTAATAAGTTCGTGCTATTTTTTTATATCCAGAAGATTTTTTTTGTATTAATTTAAAAATCAATTTTACATATATATATATATTATACATACATTGTCTATACACAGCATGTGTATTTTAACTCGGTTGTCTATTTATTTTTTTATTTTTATTTTATATTTAAATTTAATATATTGCTATCATTTAATAAAAAGTTTTCTTGAATAAATTGCTTAATATTAGAAGAAAAAATATCGAAAAATATCGAAAAACAATTGTCATTGATATAAGATAAAATGTGATGTTTTCTGTTTTATCGACGACGAACGTTTTTTAGATATATAAATTTGTAATTATATTAAAATTTATTAAAAAAAATTGCCAATTGCCAATATCTTTTTTTCATATTATATTATTGTTCATATTATATATTATTTAATCTCATAATACGATACAATTATTTGGTATATTTTAATGATTCTTTTATATTTTCAAACATATAAATTGCAAAATGATTATTGATATTATTTAATCGATTTTAATTATATAAAAAATTTCTAAAGGATTTTATACAACAAGTTTATAAAATTATATAGATTTTTAAAAATAATTTGAAATGTACTTATAAGTTTGTAATTTTAAAGTTAGAATTCAATAGTTTTAGTAGTAGACATATTATTATTGCTGATGCTGTTGGTTCTTATCGCAGTAAATCGAATTGGAGACCTATCGTTGGAGACGTGCACCTTGACATTTCATACATCAAATAAATGATACCGATAATTGATTGACTATTGAAATCACTTTTAAAAGAAATAGAGAAAAAGTGATAAAGAAGCTGTTCATGAAATTTTATGTTCCAAGAAACAGGTATTGTAATAACATAATTATATAATAAATGTCTATATTCGGGCATGAGCGGGAATGAATGCTAGTTACGTGAATCAATTTGAAATTAATTTATAGTTAGTTAAATTGAACAAAGATAAAAATTTTAATGTCACATTGCATATTATGTCATTGATAAATATTATTTCATTTTTTTTATTATAAAAAAAATAAATGAGAGGATATATATATGTAAATTGTTAGATAAATAAAATAAATAAAAATAACAGTTGATAATAATTATAGACATGGTGCAATAATTTCAAAATCTTTATAAATTTTTCAACTTTTTTTTATAATTTTTTAAACCCATAAATAATCCATTCATATTTTCATATGTGTTAATTATTTTCTTTTGATGAAAGCATTTAAAAAGAAAATTAATATATATGGACAGAGGAATTATGTTCGTGTAAAATTTTGCAAATGTAAGCATAAAGTAGTAACGTAAACACGATAAATTGAACTATTATTATCAATTTCCTTTTTATATAGTATATATTATTAAATATACATATATTTATATTCTCACATCTTATGGAATAGAAAGAGTGTGCAGTAGAATCAATTATGAAATGTCATACATTAGCTATTATGTACAGTAGAAGTATTGAAGATGTATCAGCCATCGAAATTATAGTATACAATTGCAAGACTCATATACTTACATATGTGGATATACATATATCAGAACATCGACTTGTCGTTTTTTTTTTCCATTTCTTTTGTCTTTGAAAATATATTTATGCGAGACTTAAATCAAATTAAATCAAATTGATTAATCTTTCTGTTGCACACTCACAAATTATTTCATACATATACTCATATAAATGATTATACGTTTATGAAAATAAAAAAATTAAATCTTTTTCAAAAATATTTTCCAGTATATATTTCGACACTGAGCTTCTCTTCGTTCTTCGCCTCCTTATCTTGCTCTGTTTAGAGAATTTATATTTGATGTGGGAAATTATTGACACTTAAAGAAAAATAAAAAATTTTAGAAATGTAGTTCAAAAGAGAGAAGAGCGAGAAAAAAAATAGGAAAATGATGAAATTATCGGAATCGTTACGAAGAAGATATATAATCATGTGCAATATCTATGAAGGACAGATGATCTTTGAGAGATACGAATTTTTTTTTTTCATAAACAGAAAAAAGTTTTAGTGGAGTGAATAATAAATCGATCATCCGGGATTCCAATTTTAATGACTCAAACAATAATCTTTTGCATGGTATGATCGATTTGATGATTAAAAAGTTCAAAGAAAGACGTATCCCTCGAATTATATTTCTTTTGGGAAAGAAACAACGGAAGAAAAGCGGAAAGAGAAAGAAAGAAAAGAATAAAAGTGATAAAGAGATAAAGAAGACGTGTTATATGTATATATATAATGTGTGTGTGCGTGTGAAACAGTGATAAAATAGAGAAAAAGAAAAACATTTTTGTCGTTTAAAAACTTATTGCTAGTATAGTTGAATATGTTATATTGAAAAAAAAGAGTCAAGGAAGAATCAGAAGAAAAGGAAAACGAGATTCAAGGGATATAAGACAAAAAAAAGAAAAATGACAGGTAGTCGTAATAACGAAATAAATCCAAAAGAGGGATTGTATGATGAAGGTGGAAAACATACGGTTCATTGGTTTCGCAAAGGTCTCAGACTTCACGATAATCCTTCGTTGAGGGAAGGTCTTGCTGGAGCCTCCACCTTTCGTTGCGTATTTGTTTTGGATCCGTGGTTCGCTGGAAGTACTAACATTGGTATCAATAAGTGGAGGTGAGTACATGAAAGTAAACAAATTTCTTTCGATTAATAACGATTAAGAAATAAGGAAATATTTCGAAAATGTTTTTCAATTCGATTTGTCAACAGATTTTTACTACAATGTTTGGAAGATCTTGATTGTTCATTGAGAAAACTAAACTCTAGGCTATTTGTGATACGAGGACAGCCGGCAGATGCTCTGCCGAAATTGTTTAAAGAATGGGGTACTACAAATCTGACTTTTGAAGAGGATCCAGAGCCATTCGGACGTGTCCGAGATCATAATATCTCGGCACTTTGTAAAGAGCTTGGTATTTCGGTAGTTCAAAAGGTCTCACATACTCTTTATAAATTGGATGAGTGAGTTTAAATGCTTTTCTTTGATCATCGTTCAATTTTAGAATTTGTTTTTCTTCTTAATTATAATATAATAATATAATTAATAATATTAATATTTATTATTAATGGACATGAGTATTTCTTTATCTTTTTAGAAAATACATTTAATTTTTTTTTTTTAATTTCATTGCAAAATTATTATCTATGTTAACTATTATGTTATCAATATTTTATTGCAATTCTTGTACTATTTAATTTACACATTAAGAGTTATGTCTTATTGTTTCAGAATTATTGAGAGAAATGGTGACAAATCTCCGTTAACTTATCATCAATTTCAAACTGTCGTTGCCAGTATGGATCCTCCGGAACCACCAGTGCCAACAGTTACTTCTGCTTGCGTAGGTTCGGCATATACTCCTTTAAAAGAAGATCATGACGATCATTATGGTGTACCGACGCTCGAAGAACTTGGTAAATCTATGCATTTATTTCTCATGTAAGAACGAAAACAAAAGACATATAGAGGAAAAAAGAGAAATGATACAATAAAGGAATATATTCTAATAATTGATAGGCTTCGACACAGAAGGTCTCCTTCCACCTGTGTGGGTCGGAGGTGAAAGTGAAGCTCTGGCACGATTGGAACGGCATCTAGAGAGAAAAGCATGGGTGGCCAGTTTCGGAAGGCCAAAAATGACTCCGCAATCATTATTGCCTAGTCAAACCGGTCTTTCACCTTATTTACGATTCGGATGTTTGAGCACCCGATTATTTTATTATCAACTCACTGATCTCTATAAGAAAGTATGATAATATTTTTTTATTTAAAACGATATGAATTGCAATATGCATGTTTGTGTGTATAGATAAAGAAAAAAGAGACGATATTATTAATTTATCTACTTGATTAAAATATTATAAAAGTTTGATTTACATTTTATGTTTTGACGATTTTTAGATAAAGAAAGCTGTACCGCCGCTTTCATTGCATGGGCAACTTTTATGGCGTGAATTTTTTTACTGCGCCGCAACGAAAAATCCAAATTTTGATCGCATGCAAGGTAATCCAATTTGCGTGCAAATTCCTTGGGATAAAAACGTTGAGGCACTCGCTAAATGGGCAAACGTGAGTGAATTCGAAATATTTTTATGTTTTGTAAATAATAGAAATCGTGAATTTGAACGTATATTATATATATATATATATGCACGGATACATATAATACATATTAAGAATTTATGTTGATTATAAATTCATATTATTTTATAATTTTATAATTCTAAAAAAAACTGAATATAGATGGCTGTAAAAATTTTATAAAATTTAATGTATTTATTTTATTTATCTATGTTATTTGCTTTTTTATATTATTTTTTTCTATTATCATATATATTAGAATTTAAATTTATTTTAATCATTTTTTAAATCTTTGTTTATTTGTTTTTATGCTTATTTATTTAAACAATTTTAATATAAAAATACATAAATATATACATCATATAAAACTTGAAAACTATAAAGTAAAATAGTGTACAAAATATATACTCAATAAAACAAAAATATATACAAGATATATTTATAAATAACATAATTTGATATAATATATATAAAATACATTTTACTTATAAATTAGACAAAAAAAAGCAAATAAAAAATTTATGTATCTGTGGCGTCATCTCGTGTTTGGATCGTGAAAGCTCCAATTCATTATTAGCGTAGCAGAATATGCAAGAAGGTATTCGTGACGTCATAAAAAAAGAAGCAATATTGTGCGAGAAGGATAGAAAAGACATTCACTAACTTTGATTATGCGGCTCCTAATATTTGCTTCATATATAAAATGCTACATTAAAAGTTAATTAATTATTACTTTTTTATTATAAATTTCTATTTAATTTTAAGATTTATATCTTAAAGCTAAAACTTCATACGAGTTTCTCATGTCAATTTTAACATGAAATTTTTTTCAAATAATTATTTATTAACAATTAATATATTATATGCTGATTGACATGACCGAGTATATTTTTGCAGTATATTTTTCATTAATTGTTTTTTATTATTATATTTTTTTTAAAATACGAATATATACATATGAAATGTTACTTCTTTTTCTATTTTCATGTATAAATTTTATTCATAATTTTATTATTGTTTAAATAATAAATTGATTGTTTATTATTTGATTGTAAATTGATATTTTGTATTCTCTATGATAATCGTTAATAGATAATTAATTGAAACAAATTTCCTATTAAAATTGATACGAAAAACTTGTTTGAAGTTCTAGCTTTAAAATGCGAGCTCAAATATATAGAAATTTTGAGTAGAAAATGAGTAATTAATAAATTTTCCTTGTAATGTCCTTAAAGTGATGGGAAATGCTTTGTCTTTCTCATAATGTTCTCTTTATCTAATGTTATCTTTGTGACATCACGAATACCTCCTTGTACATTCTGCTTTGCTAGTAATAAATCGAAGTTTTCATGATCCAAACATGAGATGGCACCACAAATATATAAACTTTTTATTTGCTTTCTTTGTCTAATTTATAGGCAAAATTTACTTTATAGAAAAAAAGAAAAAACGTTTATAAATAGAAAAAAAGAAAAAAAGAAATAACAATTTTATGTTTAGAAATAATTGTTTAAGAAATATAATAAATGAATGTACATAAATGCTTCGAAAAAAGAAATTCATTCAAAAGTATCGAGAAAATTTTCATTTCATGAAAAAAAAAAATAGAAATATAAAAAGATATCTATACATAAAAATAAAAAAATATATTATGATATATAAAAATATGTATATATACGTTGAGAAATGTATATAATATTTATAATTTAATTTTAATAGGAATATATAGATATTACATGCTAAAAATTATAAATTGAAATTCGGTTTCATTTATTAAATATATATATATATATATAGATATGTATAAAATAGAGACCTCTAATAAATAAATAATTTATGGAGCGTGTTTGATCTTTCATAAGAAAGAAAAATTAAAAGATTATTTTTCAAAAAATAGGGTCAAACAGGATTCCCCTGGATCGATGCAATAATGACTCAACTAAGAGAAGAAGGTTGGATACATCATTTGGCTAGACACGCAGTCGCTTGTTTCTTAACCAGAGGTGACCTTTGGATCTCTTGGGAAGAAGGAATGAAGGTAAAATGTCGTTTGTTATTACTGGCATTTATTAACATATTAGAAAAGGTTAACGAACTTTTCGAGATATTGCATTGTCTATTATGAAATTATTTCTGCTAGTCACATTTCCTATTCACATTTGTTGCATTCATTTGTAAAAGTATATATATCTTCTTGAATCTTTTCCAAGGTATTTGATGAGCTGTTACTAGATGCTGACTGGTCAGTAAACGCAGGAATGTGGATGTGGTTGTCGTGCAGCTCTTTCTTTCAACAATTTTTTCACTGCTATTGTCCAGTAAGATTTGGCAGGAAAGCCGATCCGAATGGTGATTACATTAGGTAACTTTGATTCTTATATGAATTCTTGTACGAAAATGCATTTATTTAAATATTATATGATATTTGAACAATAGTAAAGAGTTTTTTAATGATTTCAATAATTTTTGATTTTTTTTCTTTTGTATTCTATTTTGATACAGACGATATTTGCCAGTTTTAAAAAATTTTCCCACGAGATATATTCACGAACCATGGAATGCACCACTTAACGTACAACGTGCAGCTAAATGTATCATTGGCAAAGATTATTCATTACCGATGGTGAACCATAGCAAAAGTTCTAGAATTAATATTGAAAGAATGAAACAAGTTTATCAACAATTAAATAAATATCGTGGAAATGGTAAGTTCTTAATTAAATTTTAAATGGAATTTGAACGCTTAATATGATAAATTCTCAAATAATAAATATTATTCTTATCATTCTTATTGTAGGAGTCTCTCTTAAAGGAGAAACTGTTGGTGAGTAATATTTTCTCTCTTTTTCTTATACTTTTCATTTTTTTAAATAAATTTACGATAGCCAGCATACGTAACAAGCAGCTTTTCGGCAAGGTTTACTGAATGCACTACCACCTCCGTCAATGAAAGAAATTGAGGAAGAAAAAAAGAAAACCAAACAATCTTTGTCATCATCAGAGAATCAATCAAAAATGGAAATTCTTCCTAAGACGACGCAACAACAACACCATCATCAATAATGATGGTTAATACCGATGATACGGAAATAACAATACGTTGATCCGAAAAAATGAAATTTCAATTATTATTTCTTATTTTTATTTAATTCATACTTATTTATTTATCTTCATCGACATTCAAATTTTGATCATTATGCTTCACTATAGTCATTTTAATTCTATTAAATTATTTGAAGAGCGATTTTCAATGAGATCGCTGTCATCGGTTTATTTAAATAATTACTTATATTTAAAAAAAATACTGAAAATAATATTGAAAATATTAAAAATAAAATGATCACTTTGAAACAATATGATAATGATGCTAATTTTAAAATTTTGTTGTATATAATACATCTGTGTATATATCATAAATAGAAATTTTTCATGCAAATTTATCTAATAATTATTTCTTAACATTCTTCCAGATATTAATCTTTAATACTTATCATAAACGCGCGTATATATGTGTATATGTATGTATATAAATGTATATCAGTTAAAGAAGAATTAAAAATAACGATTTTCTACTTACCCCAATTTTATTGATATCTATTACAATAGAAAAAGGTGAAAAAAAAGATCTCAGTTAATTGTAAACTATGTAAAAAATAAAATTGACAATCAACTAATGAAATGAACAATTTGTTATAGAATATGGACAAATATTATTATAAACATCAACAGTTTACTCATTTCAAATATTTATCCTTTTTTTTTTTTTTCTTTTTCTTATCTAATAAGAATAAGTGTTAAAAGAAAATCCAACTGATTGTAAATTACGAAAACAACTCGATGAAGCATCTAATTGACATATTTTCTTGATCGTATATATTTATGTGTACGATCATTCTTATGGCGTCATGTCAGAAATAATTTACATTCCTGGGATCATTTTTTTATTTTTTCATGTCAACAAATGATATATTTTTAGTGCCTATAGTACTTATAGTTTTACAGTACATTTCTCGTTAGATTTAAACAATTACAAATGAACATCCTCCAACACTCAAAGACGGAACCTAATGTTCTTTTTTTTTGCAAACTACCTTTCTCTCTGTTGTTCGCACGCCCATACACACGCATATACATACCACGCACACGGTTTTCTCTCACTTTCACTCATATTTACTATTCCTTTTTCTTTTTTCCCCCTCTTTCTCTCCATTTTTCCCTTATTCACGCGTTTGCTTTTAAATTATAGATTCTTATTCTTCCTTGTTTCACGTTTTTTGGTATATGTTTTATAAACGCTTATGGTATATCTCATGGTATATTATCCATGCAACGTAATAAAAAATTCGCGAATTTTTACGATCACGTTTATAATGTCTCCAAAATGCGTGGCTTTGTCAATTGGCGCTTATTATTATTATTATATTCGGCCTTTTCAAGATAAAATGTTTTATTTCGTAAATGAAACGATAGATAGATAGAATTTTATTCGATAGAATAGAAGCATTAGGAAATCAGAAGAAAAAATTAGATTTCATCGAGAATTATCGACAAAATTAATAATTGCTTCAATTATATCGGTGAATTGATGTATCGATAGTTTTTCGATTTACAAAATGATCACAACGGTTTGAAAAAATATTGCCCATGTTGGGGAAATGACACGTGTTTACGCGCACGTGTGTATTATGTGTAAGGTCACGTGTATAAGGAAACTATGTACAGTAGTAAACTTTAGAAATTAGATTAGATCGATTATTTAATTAATTAATAAATATGATAGAGTAATTATAATCTTATGGGATAAATATTCGTGAAAGCATCAAATCTTGATGATTAAGTTCATGATTCATAAGAAACCAAATTTTCGATAATTAAGTGCTTCGAATATAATAGTATACAATATAACTATATGAATATGCATCAAAAACAACAATTGCAATGAAATGATCAAATAATTTTTGCCGAATTGTTTCCATCTTTTGTTTCTATTTCCATAAAATGTTAAAATTTTATAAATTTGTTTTATTTTCGCAACGCATTTTGAAGAAACACATGCCCGATCGAATATACATATATACGTCCATGCACGCACGCTCGTTCTCGCTTGCAATTAACTCGATTCTTTTTTTTTATTTCTTCTTTCATTTCGAAGATACATTCAATCTTTATCATAGTTGAATTTCAATAATGCTTCCTTTTCTTTTTTCTTTCAATTTTTTTTTTTATTTTCTTACACATGCATTCTATTACACACATGCACATTCACACATATGCATGCATTCTCTCTCTCTCTCTCTCTCTCTCTCACTCTTATTCTCATTCTTTCTTTCTCTCAATTTCTCGAATTTTTATTCTTTTTCACTTTTATTTATTAATCACTCTTCCATTCGTTTAACTCGGCTTGATTTGCGTACAATGTACGCGTTATTGAATTAAACTTCGATAATTATTTTTCGGAATTAAAGGTAATCCACTTTTCGGTACAATTAGTGCGGTTAACTAATCTATACTATTAACTATGTTCACAATGATCGCTACAATTTACTCATAGTTCATAGTATAAATGTCGACAGCTTACGATACGTACACTACGCTAACATCGGATTCAAAGTGGTAGTTTCGAGTGCGACGCGCTATCGGAAATCTCATTTTCTTCGATCGAACATGTCCGTTCAACGATTCTCTCCTCTGGCATCGCTCGTCGATCGATACACGATCGGTAAGTACGCGTCCTGTTTTCCTCTCTTTCCTTTCAATTGGTTTCATTTTGTTTTTTTTTTTCTTTTTTTTTTTTCGTTAAGGCAAGAGCAGAAAACAAAATCAAAGATAAAGATAAAAAATTTCGTGAGTACCGATACTCTCTTAATACAAGCGACGCGTTCCTCCCCTTCTTTTCTTTTCTTTTTTTCCACTCTTTCTTCACTTTTCTCCTTCTTCCCCAGCTCCCTATCTCTCCCCTTTTTTTCCGTCTTTTCGTGTTTTTTTTTTTTCGTATCTTCTCCTTTCATTCATATGCGACAAGCGACGTTTAATAATCCTACGTAAAACTATGCGTTAATACGCCTATTTAATTGCGGGCACGAGGGGTTAAGTATATATTTACGTTACGCGCTTAAATACAATTGCTAATTAGTTTTACAATACGTTCAACATTTTTTGTCCTCCTGATTTCACTAAGTACCGTTATCTTTTTTCTTTTTTTTTTTGTTAACAACAACAGACTTACTTAACTCTAATTATGTTTCTGGTTTGTTACTTTCTAAGGCCTTGTTTCTAGCACAAATCCTGCTGTCGCTAAGGCAGTGGCTCTTTAAACTTTCTCTCTCTCTCTCTCTCTCTCTCTTTCATTCTCTCTCATTCTCTTTCTCATTCTTTCTTTCTCTCTCTCTCTCCACTTATCCATTCATTCTTCCATGCATGCATTTACACTGGTATACACACGTGCTTGATCTTTTTTTTTTTCTTTATCTATATAATTCGTTCGTTACGCGATGAATCGTGACAGACTTCCGGTCGATCGAAGGACGCGCGAACAATCGAGTTTCTTAAAGAAACGCCATGCTGAACGACCGAAAAAACTTGAGGCCGGATTTTTTTGTTTTTTTTTCTCCGTGATTTTGATCCGTGAAAAATGTGGATTGTGGATCGCTTACATTTAACCTTCCCGGCTTCGAAACGCAATCTTTCGAATTCACATCTTTGCGTTAAGAAAGCAGAAGAGAGTGGGCGAGCGAACGAGCGAGCGAACGAGCGAGCGAGCGAGCGAGAGAGAGAGCGAGAAAGAGAGCGAGAAAGAGAGAGAGAGACGAGACGAAGAGAAAACGAAACACTCTTAAAATTTTTAACGATAAAAATTATCTATTCCTCGCGATTAATAAAGAATAATTCTATTTAATATAATTCTATTTGACATATCGAAATTCTAAACATATTCTAACTCAAGTAATTGTTATTATTACTCTCTTATTTTTTTCTGACTCGGAGGATGGTATTTCATGCGGCACACGTTGAAAAATAAAGAAGAAGAAGAAGAAGAAGAAGAAGAAAAGAAAAAAATTCAGGGCTCGTGTCAATTTTCTTTTTTTTTTTTCATCGACAATGGTAGATATAAGTCTTGAGAGGCAATAATCGAAATAACGGAGGACGTAGCCAGTTACGACACCAGCACAATTACACTACGTAGGTATCGGCATCGACGTCGACGTAGCTGCCCTGTTTTATGCGAGAGCTCTACGTCGGCCGAGATCAATACGTAGTCTGTGGTCCTCCTGCCTCTCTCCCACCGCTACGCACACATTGTATGCACGTACACGCACACGTGCACACTCCTATCGACATTTCAACCTCTCCCTCCCTCCCTTCGCCCACCATATAACGTGTCATTCTCTTTCTCTCACCGCGATTTTATATCGCCACCACTCTTCTCTCACTCTTCCACATTTCTCTCACTTTTTCATTCACTTGGCTAGTCCCACCGAAACTCGAGCTACCGTTCAAACTTATTCTTTCTTTTCTTTTTTTTTTTTTTTTTTTTTCGAACTTCCATCGGATAGCCAGCTTTCATCCATCCCGTGTTTCCTTTTCCTCGTGTCTTTATTTCTCCCTTCCCCCCCCCCCTCCTCCCTCCTCTCTCTCTCTCTCTC